GCGGCAATAACTTACAAGGTGGTGGCATGTTGTATGTTAATGCCTTGTTAAATGTGTTGCTGATCTAGAAGGACAATACATTATAAATAAACAACCCCATTGTCTGGATAGAAAAAAAGATCGACTTTTACAAAAAAAATTGGAGCAGCTTCATGGTAACATGATCCGTGCTATCATAGCAATCATAATTTAACAACAATGTAATAAAAAACTTAGGTCGGGGTCAGGAGGTAAGTAAATAAATTGGAACAGCCAAACGCTCAACCGGAAGTAGAAATGAAAAAAGTGGAAATGAACATGGAAATTGACGATTTTGCAATATCGTAATATAGACCTCATAGCAGGGCTACTAGTTTCGAATACACCCATTAGGTCTAGGTACAAAAGCTTTCGAACCCCAAACTCCGTTCGTTCGTGGGTACAGAAAACGTTTGTGCCTTAGACCTGCGGGGTGTATTCGAAACTAGTAGCCCTGCTATTCGGTCTATATTTCTTAAATAAAAATTTAATAGAGATATTAGAGAATTTTGTTATACGGCTCATGTCCGTCATTTGTGACAAATGGTATCTGACTTTACCGTTGTCAGGCTGTTCCGATGTGATATTAAGAGCTAGCCTACTGTAGCAACTGTTACTAAATTGTTCGTTTAGAAAGAAAGTACCATAGTTCACTTAGAAAAATGATTTCCATGCCACCGAGTTGTATATTTGCTTTGATGATATGGCGCCATGTTTACCTTAGTTGGTCCCAGAGTGTTTTTCTGCGTAAATAATAAAAAGCTTTTACATTTGATTAGTGATATTTGATTGGGAATTATACAATGTTTTAATGTCGTTTAGTACCTTACATTTATCGGATTAGTTTCGTTATTTGAATCTTTTTGGTTGAGCTGTTTCGTTTTTGGATGCCATGTTTTTGTTCGAACCTACTGCAAATGGTATAGATTGAGGGACCGAAACTTGTCACTGTAGAATGCATTGCATGGGAAGAAAGAATCCTTATATGGTCTCATCAGCGTCTCCCTTTCTGGTAGTCACCTAGATCGAGCTTATTTCATGGAGGTAATCAGCATTCAATCGAAATCTACTCAAATCAATAAAATAGTAATCGGGGAAAAAGCTTGCTGGTAGACTACTTATTGCAACTTTTTTTATTCGTTTGAGTCGTGGGACAATGGGCGGGGTCACAAGACTTGATGAAAGACAAGTTTACTTACGTAAATACAAGAAAACGCATTAGAGAGGATTCGCATTTCGATTTAACCCGACATAACGTACGTGTGTGAAGCTCTAAGTGTTCTGGACTACCCGATTTGGATTTACTTAATTTATCAAATACAGTTCGATACGGTGATTTTCAATTTCTAATATCAATTTTAGGATTCTACAGAGGCAACTGTTGAAATTAAGCTAATGAAACCACTTATAATATGGCTGCCTCGTGCACAAAAGGCTTTCCATTTATTCATATAAACGAACAGGGTAACCATTGGGGAATGTGAAATCCCCGGTTGTTCGACTTTTGCACCATGGGACACTCCTGAGCAATATAATACTTAGACAGAATATATCAATATATTTAGGCTGGGTCTCAATTTCAGCATTTTGGGAAATGGTCATTTTGAAAAAATGGGCCTCGATTTAAAAAAGGGTCCAAATTTTTTAAAATTGGGTCAAAACTTTCAACGAGTCAACATTTTAGGACTCTTTTTTCATCCTAGCATTTTTCCAGCAAAATTTTATATTTTGAACCCTATCTTGTGAATTATAAGATATGATAAAATAAGCGATCTCTTGGGTTGTCAGAACAGTTGGGCAGGAGTCAGAACACTTGGGCTTCCACATTCGTGTGTTTCATTAACGTAACGTATTGATCGAAAAGTGTCATTCTACACCAAACAGCTGATTACGGATACTTGGGATTAACGTACAAAATGGTATTCTGTATATGTTTTACATATTTATCTCTCTACATAACGGTTGCAGATTCGTGTGGCTAATTAGCGTGATGCGTAACCTTTGTAATACGGATAACAGCTTGATGCCTTTCAAAAGTCAAAACTTCAAAATTCCTCGTCCAGTAAGACACGTTCCGAATTGATCTTAACACTTGCATCCGTTTCATAAGGGTTGGATACTACGAAAACCGCCATTTTAATAAAAAAAACGGGTTCAAAAATAGGTATAGGTGTTGTTTTATTTGGTCATCTGTGAATGCTTTTAGAAATTCCTTTACCTTGTAATATGCTCACCAGTACATAGGGAAACATCCAGTCGTTGCACCCAAACACTGATATAAAAAAACTACATGGATGGCTATCAATTAATAACTCCTCCGATGTACTGGGAACAGTTTTATAAGCGTATTGCCAGGTAACCCCCCTATCACACCAAATTAGTTCTTACCCGTTCTTGTCAGTCCTACGAAAACGTCGTAAAACGGGCTCAATCTGGCTGTGGTCGGGAAATATGTCTAAAATAATTAGCTACTTCGTTCATAAACAGTCTTCAATACGTCCATCTCATTCGCAGTTCGTTCAGGTCGCACCACGTCGGTGTGCAACGTCGTATTACGTGTCATCATGACCTGATTACAGAACGGTATGGTCGCCATCGAATTTTGAATCTATTCAAAATTCAAAATCACACTCCCCGTCCGGGAAAGTCCATGAAGTTCGTAAACAGACCGTAGAACGTTGTAGCTACGTTCATTCCGTTCGCACATAGTTTAAAACCAGTTTTGAAGAGAACGCAGTGGCAACTTGCTTGGTGTAATAGCTATATTTTTGCTAACTCGTTGATAAATACGTTCTTAATCAGTTTTAACCCGTTTGCAATTAGTTCCACCTCGTTCTCAATACGTCTTCAGACAGTTCAAGTAAAAAGGTCCTTAGTAGGACTGAAGTTCCGTTACGACTGTTCCGTTCGTAGTACGTCCAGCTCGTCGTTAGTAGGCTGTCACTCGTTCTAATTGTAGAATGTTACGACCAAAAGAACATTTTGAGCATGTTCTAAGTTCTAGAGGACTTACCCGTTCGAGTACGCTCGATGAAGTTTGTAAATAGACCTCAAACGGTTCTAAGTACGTCCAGTCCGTTCGTACACAGTTGAAGCCCGTTTTCCAGAACGTAGTGAGAACTACGTATTTTGGTGTGAGAGTATGGTAAGGAAACACTACAAAACGTTCACAAAGTACCAAATAAAATTACACGTACCTGTTTTTCGAAATGAAATGCCACGCGTTTCAACACTGCTTTAGGAGGCGATTAATTTACTTTTTCAGGTTCAGAGGTTGTTTCTACACATGAGTTTTCGATGATCATATTAATGGGGAAAGGTTATATAGCCTAACACTATGCATGGATTATAAAATAGTTTATCATATATAAACTAATTTTTTAAAGAAGTTTACGATAAGAATTACAGAGACTAGCCACTATAAGTATTTCTGATTCTAAATAATATATCATGAAAATACTTTCATTTAAGAATATTTGGCAGTCATTGTTATTTCGTTCATTGTATACAAGGTATCCTTCACAGGGTTCAGGTGTACAATTTACTGAACACAGCTGGCTCAAAAGCCTTCTGTCACCTCTGTAGAGTAACCTACAATAGAACAACAACACTAATAATCGGAATTTGTCATCATTTTATTGCGATTGTTAGATTGATAACCAAACAGAGTAATGAAATAACTTCTACTGTTGTACGAATGAATAATCAACATAGCCTGTTTGAGATCGTTGCTGAACAATGAATGAGTACAATTATGAAAAACAATGACGATATCTTCGAGTTGAAGGAGATTTGTTTTTTAGAATTTATGGGATTGGCACAACCTCGTAGAGTTCTACAGACAATAACAGTATCGTTTGATGTGATGCTGTAATCTATAAATGCACGTTTCCAGGCGGCAGTTGCTTTCAGAGAATGTCGTTCGTATATTTACTGAATTTGAAGCATAAAGCATAACAAACTGTAGACCAAACTACCCATTGTACCACATGTGATACTAATAAACCCGGGCTTATAACATTGACACGAGACAACGTAAGGAACTAGTCACCCACTATGGTATTTTTGGCTGCGCGCGTTCATTCAATGCGCATGCGTGCAACCAGACATTGCTACTGCCATTGTATTGTACCTTTTATACACATATCCTATTGTCTCTTCTTCACCATTCATTTATTATTCATTTCCCATCAGACACAATATGTCATAACATTGAGCCACGTTATCTATTTGGTTATTCAAATCGTCATCACAAAGTCAGTAAGGCATAACAAATATTTCGTTTATGGTGTACTTGAACACCATATTGGGTTGCACATCCACTTTGTATCAAATCGTATGTGTACATGCATTTAAAAACAACAATGATGATGATATTAAATTTAGATTAAATATAGGTAACATAATTGTAAAAATCCATCAAAAATAAAAATGAAAATAATTGTTCAACTCTGGTAAAATACTGAGGAATCCGGACTAATGTTGATCTGGGGTTTCAAGGGCGTTGGGCCCCAAGCCCAAATATCAACCCTCAAGGTAATCAAGCTGGGTGATCACCCAACGAACTTTGGAGCTCGCTTTTCTACTTCATCATCATTGGACAGAAGATCTAATGGGTTCCTTTCACCTACGAACATATTCCTTCTTTTCTCTTCGGCAATTGATTCACGTTTACCCACGAACATGTTCCTCCTTTTCTCTTCGTCAATCGATTCACGTTTTCCAACGAACATATTTCTTCTTTTCTGTTCTTCTATTTGATCTCTTTTACCTACAAACATATTTCTTCTTTTCTCCTCGTCAATTGATTCTCGCTTCCCAACAAACATGTTCCTTCTTTTCTCTTCGTCAATCGATTCACGTTTTCCAACGAACATATTTCTTCTTTTCTGTTCTTCCATCTGATCTCTTTTACCTACAAACATATTTCTTCTTTTCTCCTCGTCAATTGATTCTCGCTTCCCAACAAACATGTTCCTTCGTTTCTCTTCGTCAATCGATTCACGTTTTCCAACGAACATATTTCTTCTTTTCTGTTCTTCCATTGAATCCCTTTTACCTACAAACATATTCCTTCTTTTCTCCTCGTCAATTGATTCTCGCTTCCCAACAAACATGTTCCTTCGTTTCTCTTCATCAATTGGGTCCCTTTTACCTACAAACATATTTCTCCGTTTTTCTAACTCTTCAATTTCATTTGCGATATTCTCACCGTTTAAATCTCGTTTACCGACGAACATGCGCTGCCGTTTGGCCATGGATTTCGATGCTAATATCTCGGCAGTTAATCTATCAAGCTCGTCGATGACAGGTTTTCTAACTAACTCAGGCTGCATTTTGTCCTCCTCATAATAACTACGTTTACCGACGAACATATTACGGCGTTTACCGACAAACATGTTCCGGCGTTTACCGACGAACATATTGCGGCGTTTGCCGACAAACATATTCCGACGCTTCTCAACAAGTCCAGTGAGCAGACAGTCATCGTTGCTTAAACAGGCGTGACATACTGCTTGGTACTCTGTCTCTAGACAACAACCTTCCTGGGTGAATCCCAAGTCGAGTTGTTCACACAATGAGCACGCACTGTTCCATAATTCTGATTGGCGACATACGGATGCTGATGACAAACCCAACTTGTTGGATGACTGGCCCGATGCGGTAATCACTAACGCAAAGAGACAAGACACGAGAGGCACCAAGTCCACTTGGAGATCCATCTGAAAATATAAGAACATCCATTTTAATGAAAACCACTCGTGTAGAATTTAATCATCATTGACTTAAACAGTTGAGCATCTGGCTCTTTTTCATATTTTCGTGTCCAAGTAATATTGTGTTACTTTTTCTGCTTTATAATATTTGGCAGACTTCTTACTTTCACTTTTTAACTTCTTGATTGATAGTTGTTGGTCTTTAGTTCTATACTTGGAATTCGAACACTCAACAGATTTCATGGAAAATGAAGAGAAAACCGTGGTGCCTGGAGAAGGAAAAGTTGCTCATAAACCATTTAATTAATATACCGTATGTAATTAATTATCCAGGAACCCTGAGACTAATATTACCTGATGACATTACGCGCTGATAAGATTAAAGTAAGTTTAATGTATTTTAATTAGATTTTAATTTTCAATTAATTTAAATGAATGTCGGTGATGTGAAGGCAGTTGACAAACACATCCTGTAGTTATTTTTGTACTAAAACGTTCAGATTAGATTGGCAAAATCAATTGAATTATTCCTCATTTAAAGAGTGTATCGACGAAATGGAGTCATACATTTGAAAAGGGTAGTAATCAATATACATTGTGTATTGTTAACGTACTACCATTTATCAAAATAAATTGTGTAGGCTGAATTGACTTTTTAGATGTGTTCTCCGACGCGTTTATATTTACCACTGTTCAATGCTATTTTACTCCACCCTCGCACTAAAAATAATCCGAATATGTCAACAGATTGATTGTCTTTTTGATTCACAGTTCACGACACTTCATAATCTATATTGGTTGATATTGTTGGTGTTTATGCATCGGTGGTTTTCACGCGTCTCCATACCGGGAGGCTCTTTGATTTTGCTTGATAGATGGACTCGTGTTAAAAGATTGTGTCGTCCAACAAGTTGCGCAAGCCTAATGAAACGTTAACTCAACGGATCATTACGCTAAATAGAGATAATGGATTCCCAAACACTTCTAAAATGTGTCCGGGCAACACTGCTTGAATGTCGTAGTTCAATCAACTTTGTATTGTTCATGACAATATACTGTTAAACCATAATAACAAGGCATAGTCAACGGAAAAATTTATCAATCACAAATTTAGAAAATCGTACTCAAATAAGGGTTAAGGTGGATTTGTTGAATTCATACATAGGCTTTACTAAGTCCCCCTTTTATTCCTACCGAACCTAAATTGGAGATGTGAATAAAGAAAACCACAGCTGGTCAAATAAAAATAGCAAACCAGGCCGATTAACAGGTTTAATATGCCAATAAAGCAAACCATAATGGATCAAGTAGAAAATAGCAAAACAGACCAGAAAGCAAAGATCAAAATGTCCCACGGGCGCATGCTGTCCCTTGGCTCAAATTACATAATGATGATTTGTGTACTCGAAGTGTCACGGGGTCGATCCCACTGCGGTTACTGACTTCTTCCAACCAGTCTAGCATTTCAGCATTTATTCTGCGTTTCTTAATTAGCTTTCGCTTAATTTCTTCAAGTTTATTTTTAAACTAAATGTTGAAATATTTCATTCTTCGTTCCCGCTCTTCAGAAATCGCTTTTTCATTTTTACCGCTCTTATCAATTTTAGGCCTATTATAAAGATTGGCGGATTTTCTAAACCAATAACGCAACTGTTTGTGACAAAGATCGACGATCGTCAATGGACGATTAGTCACTTAAGATAATAAAATGCAAACAATCACGATCCACGATGTGGAGATTAAAAAATAGCATCCGATAGCTCCGTCAAATCGAATCTTCGCCAGTGTCATTAGATGAAACACTAAAGATTATTGTGAGAGCAGTTGACCATTTTCTACTATCACACGACGCTTTCTTAATTCATCTATCAACCTCAATGCAACTTATTTTATGCTCATTTTAGATGAACTGCGACAGTTATAATCACTTATGTAACTCAATTTTCCAAAGTAGGTCCTGGCATGACATCCTTAGTCGAGGAATATTACACTTCTTTTTATAAAGCTGCGATCGCACTGGATAAGGCAAGGAGACTGCAAGCTTTGGGCTGAGGGGAGGGAACCCATATCGGACAAAATGTATTGAAACCAGAATATATTATGTATTTTTAGCAATCCCAAAAAGCGATTTATTTTTCATCTGGATTGGGAATTAAAGAATTGTTAGAGGGAACTGAAGAAACCCATTCTGCGATTTATTTTGATTCATCTGATCTGAAGGGTTTATGATGTGTTTCTTTTATCACTCTTAATTTTGTTTCGTAGATTCTTTGCCATATTTTGGTGTTACTGTACATGTAGGTCTACTTAAAGCACAAATTTAGTTCTCCATAATTCATCAATGTAATTATTTTCCTACACAACTTTTCTTGCGACATTCACCAAATTACACTTCTCTGACGAGCCTCGGAGATTTTCAGTACGAACTTATAATTTTCATTTACTTTGGTACCAATACAAATAGTGCTGCGGTACTTATACCACATACGTATGACAATTTCAATCATTGGCAATAGTATTTTGCAAATGGCCAACCACACCAAAGAAGCAATTTAGACTCCTCCAGGGAAAGAGACCTCGATTAAGTTTAGGGGCAGGAGTTCAAGTTGTAAAATCCCACTCATGGAACACTCGTCAGTAAAACATTACATCAACTCACTATAGCGAGAAATGAAGCTGAAAAGTACAATAAGAAATTCAATCAAGCAAAAAACACCTGCTATTTCACCCCATTGTTAACACAATCATGCTCGTTCGGTAAAGAAGTGAAACATAATGTTGTAACAAGAGTACGCCATGTAGACGACCATGAGCAAAGAGGAATTCTGATCATAGACAGGAGCGGATCCATGAATCAACAAGGGGGGGGGCAAATTTTCGGTCATAGAAAAAACTTCCGCGGAAAAAATTTTGGGCCCCTAAAACCGAAAAGTGGGCCTAAGTTTTGAAGATTTGAGGCCCATTTTCTTCCAAAATTTGACCTGAAATTAAAAAATTAGGCCTTAGAAGGCCTAGTAATGACCAAAAGGTCCACTATTTGAGACCTTAAGGCCTTTTTTGGCCCAATTATTTTTCTCTGGGCCCAACTTAGGGGGGAGGGGGCTGGATCCGCCACTGTACTCATATGTTTCTGTTACACCAGAAGCTGGGAAAAATGAGATCTCATGGTTTATTTCGACGGCAAAGAGGCGTTATTTGTCATTTGATCTTCAGTAACATAACTGATTATTATATGTATGGAGATCAAACGAATGCTATTAAAAGGGCACATGTAGGCTCGTAGGCCTACGTTAAGCCAAGGACGTCCTTGGTTAAGCTAAGAGATGAAACTCAGAATCAATTTTGCCAAATATACCAAGGTCGTCTTAAAGGCGGACGCGTGGGCAGGACATAATTGTTTAGAAATGGAGGCTGTTTATTCAGACGATTTTTAATTGGTATTGTGGAATCGTATTACCACCAAGGTTTAACTCTAGAAAGCAATCAAAAACACTTGAGCTTTAATATCCAAAAGAAAAGGTTAGATTTACAATGTTTCAGTTGCTCCGACCATCTCTTGAAAGTCGACCTTGAGGAAGATGCCTCCTTAAGTGGAGAAGTGTTTCATGATTTCAGTGTACATTTTAAAATGAGTTGTAAACCATAGATCTTTTTTTAAATGTTAAGGTTCAAATTCTTTTCAAATTATATCACTGTTAAACGATCTGCTTTAAATGGACTTATTAGCCTTTTGCGGATTATTGATGTAGATAGAATAAGATCTTGGATAATGACCTTACGTTTGAAGGGTGAGTTATGCTATTCGATGAATGATGAAGAGTTGTGAAACACGTTAGGGGACTCCACGACTTATTGCTCAGTCCTTGCTTTTCTCGTGCCCTCTAACGTGATACCCTTTGCATTCGTTGATTTTGCAATTCGTCTTTAGTTCGGTATACGTAGTTTATAACAATACTCTGCGGGTGGAGTTTTTCAATAATGATTTGATGAATAGCAGATTCATTAAATTGATTTACTCCATGATTATTTACAGAACAGACAGATTTCCCGCCAATTAACGCCTTCTACTTGACCATTATTTGAATAAGAAATCTTCGTCCTTTGCACTCTTTTAATTTGCTTACTTTTGACCAAGTATTTTTATTAGAACCATGGCACTGTTCCACAACTAGTAACTTTGACGGAATAGAACGTCAATGTAACAAAATGGATGAACTTCCTGGTTACGAGTCTTTTGTTTTCTCGATTTAAACCTACTTATAAGTCAAGTTGCAGGTTGTAATTTGGCACAAAGCTAGAAAATATAGTCTAGTTTTAATAAGTTTCTTCGATTTGGAATTTGTTTTGTAAATGAAGTTGCAATTTATATATTTAGGCCCTCGTACGATTTACATATAAACTGATGTGTACAATCTGCTACCAGTCCAAACACTAAGAACAATCAACTAGAACTCATTTAAGTAATTGAATTGATATGTAGATAATTGCTTCCGGTCTTGGCCGCAATGGTAAACATGGTATATGTGTATGTTACATCATATCACATAAAAACTCTCCTTTTCGCGGTTCGCTCTTCAAACGAGGAGACACGGAAGTCCTTCCTTATATGAACAAAATATTACCCATGATACAAATTCTTGCTTCTTTGTTTTCCCTCATTGGTTTATAGCATGTCCTCATCTTCCTCATCTCCACAATTTCAATTGAAAAAATGTCCGCATTATTTTTTTGTAAAAAGGAGACCGACTTGGTAAGTTACCCCGTGACTATTTGTAATAAAAATAGGTAGTACATGATATCTGATTGATTTTACAGACACAGTAATCGAATATCCATTGACATTTTAATAAGTAATTATCATAAATTTTATTATAGCATTTGGGTATCAACTCTCCCTCTTATGCGTGATGAACTATTATTATTTAGCACCCTGTCTGGGTTCGATTTTACTAAATATGATTAATTGCACATAATAGTACTGAACTCGGTTACTTGCAATCATTTGT